AATGAAATAATTTATTTTTGGTTTAATAATATAAATTTTATAAAGATAATATAAAATAGTATTATGTTAGAACTCAATGATTATTCTAATTATATTTTAGATTTTTTTATATTTAAAATGAATTATGTTTATCTGCAATTAGTTACACGAATTCATATACGGAGCTTTAATAAGTTGTACTTGCCCACAATCTACTTGCAATCTTGAGTTTTAAGTAATATGCATTAATAAACAGTACTTTATGCATAAAAAATGATTTTTAAAAGCTTTTGTCAAATGCTTTGTTTATAGTGTGTGTGTATATATATATGGTTGGGTTCCAATGAGGAGAGTTGAGGTGAGAAGCGTAAAAAAGGATCTCCACCATTGGATGCACTTTATGGATGAGATGTACCAGATCAATTCTCGTATCGAAATTCATGGGCGGGTTTGAGATTATAGGTGATCAAGGGTCCAGGTCCCTTATTACGCTTCTCATCTTTAACTCTCATTCTCACATTGATTCTTCGGTACATCTCATCCTAATATACATCCAAGGGTGATGATCCCTTCTTACGCTTCTCACCTCAACTCTCATTCTCATCAAGACACAACCCTATATCCAAATAGACTATGTATATCGAAAATGGTTCAAATGGGAATGCCTTAATTTTAAGAGAACCTCTTTTACTATAGTGAAACATATGTGACATTGTTGCCCATCAATAATAAATCAGACACGAACGACCTTTGCCACCTACACACTACATAGAATATTATCACGTTTGGTTCTATATAGTAAAATGTGTTTTTGTAAAATGAAATGTTGTTGAACATCTACCAACATACATATACATGTCCTTGATTTCCTCATAAATATGATGGTGGGAAACTAGGAATCCAACAAAAGAAGTTAAGGTTTGGACCACCACTTACTGGTAGGGACACTTGGCCAACACCCTTAATTTAAACATACATACATCCATACATTATACATTACACAGTACAAGTGTATAATAGTAAAAGGAAAACAAAATAAAGGTTATGATGGTAGCAATTCAACTACATATCATCGAGAAATAATCTAGAAAACATTGAAAATGTAATCCTGAAACCTGTGGTTGGGTCTAGAATATAATTATTTCACATAGTTTATTTACTGGTACAGTAATAAACAAATAAGAATCAGTCGGCCTGTTGTTGTGATTCATTAACTTACATTTCGATGTCATCAAGGTCCGGTAGGGGAAAGCGAAGTATTGCAGCAATTCCTGTGAGCTGAGCCAGTTCTGAAATTATGCAAACTTCATTCCAGTAAGCAAGAAAAACTCTTCCAACCTCTATCTAGACAACACCAAACAAACCCAACAAGGGGTTGGGTGCACACCTACAAGAGTCACCACCCTCACTTGCTAATTATAACTAGAATGTTGGTAAGCATCTCTTACCCGACTAACGCTAACTGGGTAAGAGTCTTTTCCATACTTACAGGGTAAGACTATCAGTCCTCGCAACGCACACCGGGTGAGATAAGTGACCGGGTAAGCATTTAGCTTTTCGTAAATGGCTGTCATTTGCCAAACATTTACAGGCTAAGCGCTTACCGGGTGTCACTTTCCTTCTCGGGTGAGCATGACAAGAACCGAAATCTTACCCACTAAGCGAGGGAGAGGTTCTTACCCGGTTAGCACTTCCCGAGCAAAGAGACACTTACCAACAATCTATTTTGATGACCGAAAATGTTACCCGAAAGGGAAATACTGGTGGCGACTCCTGCCGGTAAGCGTTTTAAAAACAGTACACAGTGGCTCATGATGCAAAAGCAGGTACCAATACAAGTACAAGATTGAAACATCCAAAATATGAAGTGTCTGTACTCACGCTCCCCTGAAACATGCATTGAAGAAAATACATGAGTTGTGCCCCCAGATTCCTTTACTGTGTTCACCAAATTCACATATCGTTGCCTTGTAGCTACATCAGAACTCCTGAAAAAATTCAAAACTAGTAAAAGATTCAAATAACAAATTTTCACGAAAAGCAGAATACAAAACAATTACATGGTCCAAAGAACACACACTTAAGAGTAGCATTTATTTATAAGTTGTGTTCCTATATAACTGTTCTGCCAACAACAAGGATGTAAGCCATTGTTTTATTAGTTTTGAGCCAGAAGGGGGAATATCCACATTTTCCTAAAAAGCTGTTATTTCTTTCTTTAAGAGGTCCTTATCTTGTACTTCCTACATCCCATAAGAATTGCAAAAATCATTTTTAGGCACATGGTTTTTAGGGGTTCTAATTTAATTTTTTGATAAAGATGTAGTTCTGAACTTACATTTGTGTTTGCAAAAAAGAAAAATTCATAATAACTTATATTCGCATGGACTCGGTGACTCAAAATTATAAAAAGCCATACAGTACAAGGCAGCAATTTTTATGGGACTGGATATTTTCCCCTTAAATCACTAGTTTGAGTCTCCTCACGGCCACTAGAGATTTTCCTGGCTGTCTCTTCAAATCGAGGAGCACGCAAGCTGGCCCGGACAGCCATGATTAGCAAATAAAAGAAATTATGGGACACAAGATACATCCTCATCTCACTCCTTTCCATCATTAACAACATTTTTCGAGTGAAATATTTATAACTTATAGGTCAGACATAAAGAGTTGACTGATACTCCAACAGAACTGAAGCTACGAAGACACTGACAACTGTCGACCGTTCCAAAGTCACCCCTGGTGTTAACCTCTTTAAACCTACTTTCAAAATATTACCTTGTTCCACACTGTTAAATGAGTTAGCAAGTGTTGTACGAATTACAAACCTGAAAAGCTCATCGGTGATAAGTAGTGTCTGAACAGCCATTCTTTCATGAGCAACCTCAACATGCTTTGGCCCATAACATGCACGATGTGTGTCCTGCACATGCAACAAAAGAGATCAAAAGTCATCTATACTATATTATAAAGCATTTAGGCTTTTGTTCTTAAAAAACGCTTAATTTTTCAAGGGTACAACTTATAAAACATTAAGCATAAATTATTTGAAAAAAATTCAATTTTTAAAATGTTCCTATTTTACCCTTCTTTAAAGATTAAGAACAGAGTTTCCGGAAGCCTCTACTACCCTTGCCAAATATAAGGTCAATCAACCAAATAAACAACAAAATATTTGAGATTTTTAGAAACCTCTCATAATTGATGCATTTCCAAAAAACAAAAAACCATTAAAATCAAATTTACAACAATTCAATTTTCGGTTTACAATTAAATGTTACATTCTACCGCATCGCACAGGTACACTTGTAGTACATACGAAAGAGGTAGCATGCTTGGCTTGTAATATTAGCAAGTTTCAAATCCTCTCAATTATTACTTCTCATTTCTCTCTATAACTTCAACTGTCATTTTAGCCTTATTAAATACCTAGTCAAACCCTAATATTAATCAAGTTCTCTCATCTTATCATTTCCTAGACTTCTTAAGAAAAGATTTATTAAATAGATGATATAAATCAAACCCTAAAATTAAACACCCGATCCAAGGTTCCTCTATAAATACCTATACCTTAAAACTTCTCCCTCACAGCTCAAGTTTTAAACCTTTATCTCTGCTGCCTTTATCGAAGTACTGTTGGTTGCTGCAGATTTGAGTTGTGTGTAACTGTGTGTGTGTGTATTGATAAGATGAACCTCGCATTCCTAAGGCCCATGGCTCACGCCTAGGCTCCGGGACCCATTTGCACCTAAGTGCACCTAAGTGCACCTTGAGCCTTTAACAACTTTGGTAAAATCCTCTTAAATGGATTACTAGTTCCTTCCTTATCGATGCCAACTCTATCTCCCTCTCTTGTAATTTAGAAGATTTCCCTATCCCATGAAGAACAATAGTAACATACAACTCTTCAAAGATAAAAAGAAAGAGTAAATAGCATCAAGCTAATCACATAGACTCGGCCTCTCGGAATTACCTATGAATAAACAATCTGAAAGTTGAAATAATTAACTTCAAAAATGCAAAGTATATGCAAGGTTGAGCAGGTTCATATTGATTATTAACTCGCTAACGGATAAGGAAAAAAATCACATCTGCAGGCTTAAGGTCTAACATACAAATATCATTGATCCAAACAGATGTAAAGAACACCGAGATCAAAGTTGGAACCTGACATTAGAAAGCATGGTGAAGAAATCCTTAAGAGCGCGGACCTAAATAGAAAAAACAAAGATTGTTACTGAAAGACAGCAGTTCTATTCCTTCACTAAACAAAAACTAGAGAAAAAAAAAGCACGAGTAAAGCTCTCAAAGAGAAGTGAATCCAGGAACACATATAGGTATAGCAATAGGCTTTGTTGCTACCTCTTGGGCTGCTTTTGTATCCTTGATGATACTCATCACATTTGGAGCATCAAGTACCTCTCTCAAACTATGTCTGTAAAAACAAATGTTAAAATATGATATTCATTACAGAAAAGTGGAAATGGTGGCAATAACAATAGCCAGTAAAACAAAAACCGACATTAAAATTGCAGTAATAAGCATAAGAAAAAGCCATATGCTAATACATGATAACTCAAAGGTTACTGTAAGGCTAAATAGGAATTCATTTAAGTGGTTGTAAGGTAGCATGTGCTATAGAAACGTCGTGGCATTTACAAAAGCACTAGTTGCAATTCTCTGGACTCCACATTGAACAGAGCAAATTAAAAATCGCATGACCCTGAAAGTGAATATTCTTTGAATTGTATGGATTTTGAAGAAACTGTCGCCTTCCCAAATCCAAGAATATAGATCCACATCAAACATGACCAGGCAGGCACCAGTCACCACAAATGATCAGTATATAAGCCAGAGGTGGACATAGGAAATTTTCCAAGTGGTGGCACAATTTGACTATAAGAAAAGAAGATATGGATATTTTTCACAAAATCATTATTGGTCTACTGCTTAGTTCCTTGCTTTCCGTATGTGAGGTCCTGTATTGGAGTCTTTAATTGCAATTTTTTCCAGAAACATAATAAATCTGAAATTAAAAGCTAAATACTAAGAACATGACCCAAACGGATTCAAACCTGCAATTGGGATAGGAGAAAAGCCATGCAAACCAACTCTACCAAGGGAAACTTATGTTGTCATAGTAGTTTCAAAACATTTACGGTTGCCAAAAAAATGATACAGTGGCACCTTTCCCCTAAAAAAACTTACACTACGACGGAGGAACAGTGGCCCATGCCACCCATATGCACTAGTGTGGATCCGCCCATGATATAAGCAGATGTAGATGGCATATACTTTTGAATGCCGACATGTTATTCTCATTGTCAGTAAAAGAGAATCATGAAAATTATAGTGTTATCATGCATGGCCACAATTTACAAGTTTTTACAGCAAAAGAGCAAGAAGACCATGAGAACAAGGTAATACTTACGCGGCTGGATTCTTATCTTATTTATCAATGAACTAATTAAATGTCCAAGATAGTTTCAAGAAGTAGATCTCCCATGGCTCCTAAACTCAATCTTTTCTGCCCCAAAACCTTAACCCTAACGACCTATAAATACTCAAGCTTTCCTAAACCTAACAATAACATAATTCAATTAGATTGATTACCAAGCCACTTATTTCAGGTGTATCACAAGGTTGATGTTTTACTTATGCAGGTTTTGAGGTTTATTCTAGCATACAGAAGCAATGACAGTAAAGATAACAACACACAACACATGGGACCTCTTATAACACTAACTCATAGGGATAACAAGTTTGAACACACAAGAATGTGCATGAAAACATAAGGGTGTAAACATCCTTCCCCTTGCAGTGCCGAAATGACATTGGATTGAATAAATAAATAAACCATCCATGGAAACACTTGAAAGCACACGGAAAAGATGGATGTGTACTTTCAACTCATAGTTGGTGAAAACAGACTGCCGAAAATGTTTTCATGCAAGTAAACAATGAAAGGCTGCTTTCCATGTGCACCGAAATGTTTAATAAAAAGCTTAGTAAAAAATAAAGAACAGGTCCATAATATTCATACATTGTACTCCTGAGTCCTGATAATCAAATTTCTCAGAAAAGAAAAAACCAACCTATCCATAAAAAACCACCCTATCTCAACTGTAACATCAAAAGGGACAAATGGAGAAAATACTTCTTCCAATTGCACAAATACAAGGAGAAGATAACATAATCATGTTAATCATAGATGGTAAAGAATGCTTGGGGCGGTACTATTTATGGGGAGATAGCGGGATACAAGAGATAAAGTGACATAAAAAGCCACAGTAAGACGGTACTGGTCGATAACCTAATGATGTTTTAGCAATAAGTAGAGATGCTGCAAGATCAACAAATTGCATATAGATGATGATGCAGATATTAATCTGTAACAGCCTGTTTTCAAGCTAATTAGAAAAGAAAAGGAGGGCTGTAATTATAACAAAATAATAATAAAAAAGGGGGTTGAAAAATAGTTATTATAAGTGCTAAAGACAAAAAAGGGGGCTGGAAGATGGTGATGAGGTGTTCTATGGTGGCATGGAAGGAAGCTCCTAGTTCCAAGCTCCTCAACCTTTGGTATAAATAGGCAGCATCATTCTCGTTTTTTTGTCTCATTTTATTGCAACCTTGAGCAAAAAATTCACATAGACATACAATCCCATCTTTTGTGAGGGAGAGGAAGAGAAGATTAGTGAACATGGGGAAGAAGATTGCAAAATCGAAACTCCAAATAGCCAAAACCAAGGTGATTGTTTGTTCTTTGTGTTGGTTTGGTAACAAACCTGAGATATATATTGGTATTCAACTTTTTATGGGTTTATTTATGTTTTTTACTACGGTTGGCTTGGTAACAAACCTGAGAAAGATGAGTATTCAACTTTTGGTGAATTTAATCATGTATTTTTTACTGTTGTTGGTTTGGTAACAAACGTGAGAAAGATTAGTATTCAACTAGACTAGGTAGATAAGTATATAAACCGATAGCAACATCCTTGGTCATATCTTTAACATACTGTATGTTATCTTTAACAATTGTTTAGTCCGCTGCCCTTTATGGTCAACTCACGATCCATCAAACGCGTAATGGTTCCTTTCATAAACTAGCCCAGCCATCTCTCGAACTAATGCTTCATTCATCACTTGGTTATTGTTTTCTTCTATTTCATCGTCACGATCCATCCAACGAACAACATGTCGGTAATGGTTCCTTTCGTTGAATGGATCGTGAGTTAATCATAAAGAGCAGGGGACTAAAAACAATTGTGAAAGATAACCTACACTATGTTAAAGATATGACCAAAGCGGTTGTCGTCGGTTTATAACTTATCTACCTTGTCTAGTTGAATAGGAATCTTTCTCAGGTTTGTTACCAAACCACCAGCAGCAAAAACATGATTAAATTCACCAAAAGTTGAATACTAATCTTTCTCAGGTTTGTTACAAACATACTGTAGTAAAAAAACATAAATAAACCCATTAAAAGTTGAATACCAATATATATCTTAGATTTGTTACCAAACCAACCCAAAGAACAAACAATCACCTTGGTTTTGGCAATTTGGAATTTAAAATGTGCAGTCCTCTTCCCTTGCCATAATCTCCTCTTTCTCTCCCTCAACAAAGATGAGATTGTATTTTCTGCTGGAGGTTGCAATAAAGTGAGACAGGGTACAAGAATGAGGCTGCCTAGTTATACCAAAGGTTAATGAGCTTGGAACTAGATGACTCACCCCTTGGTGTGGCTTCTTCCCATGCACCACATGCCACCATAGAATACCTCATCACCAGCTTCCAGCCCCTTTTTTGTCTTTAACACTTATAATAACTATTTTACAGCCCCTCTATTATTATATTACTATTATTATTATTTTTATTATTACGATGATTTTTTTTTATATTCAACAGCCCTCCTTTTCTTTTCTAATTAGCTTGAAAACAGGCTGTTACATCCCTTGTGCTCCAATTCAAAATCAATTGACAATTAATGGTGTCACCCTCGTATTATATATAATTAAGAATCGTTTCCAATCGATTTGAGACTTGTACCCTACACAGATGCTAACATGGAGCCTGGAACAAGAGGTTGTTTCTTTTTGGCATAATGAGCTGAACGGTATGGGGAGCTTATTCGCTCAGTCATATGTGGTTGTTTCTTTACGCTTAATGATTAAGCCATAAAAACGATTTGGATTATTCCGTAAGAATTCCCTCTTTGCCTTTATGCATCAAGCCAGATTTCGTTCATTTATTCCCCTGTTTTGTTTCAAGATTTTATCTTTTCAGTTTTTGTTTCTGTTTTTAATTTCTTTTCTTTTCATGTTTTGTTTTTTTAAATTTCTTCTCTTTTCAATGTGTGCTTTAATTTCGTTTGTTTTAATTATTTTCCTTTTCAATTTTAATTTTAACTATAGTTCTTGATATTATGTAATGTGATATCATAATTTAAATGTTCTATACCATTCATATTTTATAGTTAATAAATGATGATCTTTTCTATTGTATTGTATTTAAATAAGTATTATTTTCGATAATCCGCCAAAAGAGTACAACTGTCATTTTACTTCAGACTGTTCATTCAGAGCATAACAGAAACAACAATTTCCCTTTAACCAACCAGATGAGTTTTACCAAACAAAAGGCTTAATCTAAGCATGCTTAATGGGAAAAAGAAAGCAGCCCCTAAGACCGTTGAGGCACAACTTAATAGCTTGTTGAAAGAACAGATTGGATGAGTACAATCATAAAGTTGACTAGCAATGGAGTCACCCACCATTGGATCATGCCTATTGAAGTAGATTTTTTTTTAAATCAATGCGAGACATGTACCTTTAACAATACAAATTATTGATTTTGAAATTTTCCCTACTAATAAATTTGTATGTTGCACATTCAATTAGTCTCTAGCAAGTTGTTTGTTGTGTATTCTTATATTCAATATGTTGGTGTCTTTGATAACTGTTAAATCCACATTATTTGAATCCCAAAGTTATTGATGCTTCAAGTGTTGACGAAAGAAGGAACATGAACATACTTGTATCCCGAAGTCGAGTGCACAAGAATGATGCGTGACTTGTTTTCAATTATATGCCTTAGATCTCTCCTTTCTGCTTCCAACATTAAATGGCGATGAAATTGATCCTGAAGTACATATGAAAGAAACCCTCAGATATAGCATATTGTCAAATGCAGTATTGTCACACAAAGACCACCACTGCTATCCTACAGATGGTGTCAAACAAATAAGTTTCACTAAATGGACACTTTCTTTTTCTTTTTTATTTGAAAAAAAAAAGACAAAAGGATATCATGGTTGTTTCCTAAAGAACACTTGCTATAGATCAAAGATTGAGGCCACAGTCAAGTCAAGTTTTTAAGGAGTAGCATCTAAGAACAATATAATTTATACTCCTATTAAGGTGTCATCTTCTACAAGTGAAAATGGTCTGAAACCTGAAAGCATGAGAACCTGTTAATGTATAGACAATATACAAGAGGGAAGAAGAATCTAGACAATAATTCCATGATTGTGTCGTTAATAATTCATAGGCACAGAACTTCCTAATATAGCTTCCACGCCATCATCCTTATGAAATAATCAAATCATTTCAATTCAGTAAGGCTCGATGGAGAGAGACATAACAAATAAAAAATTCCACAAAGCTAGGAAATCAACTTGACTTTCCTTTGATATTGGTCATCTCATTCTTTACAGCTCCCTGAACTTTGATCTATTGATTGTTTGAGGCACTGGTCTACCAGGCATGAAGCATAGGAAAAACAAAAATTGTAGCCAGAAAAATATAACTGAAGTGTACACACATCCATTTTTTAGTTCATCATTTGAAACCAAGTAATATCAGCTTCAAGTACCAACCTTAGTGAATCCTGGACTTGCAATTACAGCACATCGAACAACTTTGAAGTCAATATGCTTCATAAATGCCTGGAGAAATAGAACAAACTTTTATTGATTTCCACTTGCTTCCATGGAAGTGAACCTAGTTGTGCAATTATAGAAATAGAATCATCAATGGTACAGGAATAAATATAACAATAGCAGCCGTTGCAACTTCAAATCAACTCACTTGTAAAACATTCTCATAAAACTTATTCAAAGCCTGTAATACAAAAAGATCAATATTAGATTAGAATCAAGTCTCCAAGTATGTGGAATCCTCCGAGATTTAAAAACACTGATTTAATTTTGAATAGAAAAATCAAATAACTTAATTTTGTAACATACTTTGTCATAACCAGCTACAGAAAGCCCATGCTTGCGAGGAATCGAAGCTTCTATCCGAGAACGTGTAAGTGTCACACTGATTTAAAAAGAAATACCCGGCTTAGCATGTGCAACTCTTGAAGTACATAAGAGTTTAAGAATAAAAATAGAACTAATGCCTAAATTGGCAGCCTTGGTATACTTTATTTGCACATCTAGGCTTCTATTCTCAAGAGTTGGGTTTAACATTCGTTAGAATTTTTATTTTATTTATTTCTTAATGTGTTCATGATTACAATCAACTTAACGAAAATTTACATACTATATATGGTTGCACTTCAGAATAGAATAGAGGACAATATGATATAACAAGTTCAAATAACTGTTTAAATAATAAACTACCATGGAAAGACATCCATAAAATCACTAACACAAAGAGGAGAAGAAACTTATAAAACATAATATGATTCTAAAAGCATATCACAATTATGTTACCTTTTACCTACAAGGAGGATATGTGCCAAGCCTTCTTGCATTAGCACCACTGCAAGATCAGCACTGGCAGAAGGATCTAAATCAGGATAGAAAACCATCAGAGTGAAAAAATAATAGAGCTGATGCATGAACTTTTTAAAAGATAATCATACATCACATTCTCATCTTTAACAATCTACATGGCCTGCAATGAAGGTGAACTAAATTCTTTCTCCCATCCTTGCTTGTTTGGATAAATTTTGGCAAGGAAATGGTTTAGTAGCCCATGAAGTAATGGAAAAGCTATTGCAATAATCAATTTTGGGTATCAAGGTGTTTCGATTTTGGCTAATGAAAATAATATTAGGGCTCAGATTTGATAAACTGACTTACAGCTTTTGGTTGCACTATTATACCAATTACCAAGCAGATAGGCATTTATTTGTTGTCACATGACCATCCCCCCCCCCCCAAAAGAAAAAAGTGTACTTGATCCAACATATTAAGAGTGGAAAAAATAAATATCAACAACCAAGTTAGGAAATTAGCCAGTTATCACTGTCAATGTAATAGAAACACTTTTAAAGGTTAACCTCTCTTACAGCTAATTGCCTACAGAACTATTATCCCAAAAAGATTGTTACATAAGCTGTCCATGAGTGAGATGAATAAAAGAAAGAACAGTTTCAACTATTGACAACAGCACAACCTTCCTTGACGAGACCAGGTCCACTGAGAGAACTAGACATTCAGGTTCATCATAGAGAGAGGAAAGAGGGGAAACTGCAAGTACATATTAATAGACTTTTGGCCTCACCGGTACTAAAGCCACTCAAATAACCTTGAGGCAAGAATACAAACCCCAAAAGATCTCAAAATACTAGAGTGTGTTTGTGTGTGTGCAGACCAAACAAGAAAAAAGAAGTATAAACATGGGTCTTTAAGAAAAGCCATTTCACAAGCACATATGCTCTCTGAATAGCAAGCAAGAGAAAAATAGCATGTTTAATACAAGAGTAAACTACGATTTTCGTCCTTGTTGTTTGTTGTTTATAACGATTTTCGTTGCCGGTCTTTAAAAAAAATTCATCCCTGTGGTTTGCATTTCGTTGCTTTTTTCGTCCCTCAAACTAACTCTGTTAAAAAATCCATTAAATGAGGGACATCTTGGTCTTTTTACCAATTTTAATTTTTCATTACAAAAATAAATAACAATATATATTATCATATTTTACATTTATGTTAATATTATATATATGTAATTATGATTGGAATATATACAAACACAATCCAGCTATCATCCTCGCCGCATCAGTATCATTGCTGGCCCGTTCCCTTCCGGCAACCACCATTGCCGACTAGCCTCCATGCAACAACCCCCCCTGCGTCGACCTCATCCTCCCTTCTCCACTCATATCTGGTGAACTCCAGCACCACCTCCAGGCATATCCAGATCCGCCATGTACCACCATACCACTCCGATCTCAATGTTCAACCTTGATCATGATCTGGATTTGAATGTTCGAAGTTACCCAGATAATGAACACTCCTCACTTCCTTCACCAGATAATTCATGTGCGTTGGTATTTTGATTTTATTTTGGTTTTGTTTTTGGTTTTAGTTTTGAATTTGATTTTAATTTTGATTGTCTTTGGTTTTAGTTTAGATATTGTATTTTTATCTTTAATTATTGATTTTGATTTTAGGTTTAAATTTAATGTTAGGGATGAAATAGTAAGGTGATGGAGCTCTCATCAGAGAAGACATTGGTTCTCTTGGAGGAAGGGGGTTGCTGGAAAAAGGGAAGGGGAATAAGGACTTGCAGCGCCTATTAAGGGAAAAGGGGAAGAAGATGGGCTGAGAGGGTGGGGGTGATGTGGGTTTGGGGTAAGTGATTGTAGGCGGGTTTTTTGTTTTTTTTTCCTTTTTATAAATGCTTTAAAGATTTGTAATAACTTTGTAACAATAATATATGATTTAAAAGAAAATAACAAAAACAAAAATAAATTAAAAAGACCAAATTACCCTAACTTAACAGTTTTTTTTCTAAGACTGTTAGCTTCAAGGACAAAAAAGAAATAAAATACAGACCACGGTGACTAAAAACGCAACTTTTAAAGACCAGGGACGAAATGCGTTATAAATAGCAAACCATAAGGACGACAATCGTAGTTTACTTAATACAACAAACCGGTGCCTCATTAAAGTTCTGAAGTCCTCAGGCGCCTGTTAAATTATGTCACCATACCTGAGGCTTGATGAAGTGCATCTATTGCTAGTGAGTCCCAGAAGACCTGCAATATAACAGTTAACCCACTAAGGAAACAAGTAGTAACTAGTAAAAAGATAAAAGCACTATCTGATAGAACAATAATGGAGGCACAGGCATGTATATGAAGACAGCGGATCCTGCATGAGTGAAACTTAAATATTGTTCCAACCAAATAGCAACATACCAGCAATTGAAGTATATAAAAATGCTCAAACTGCATTGATAAAGTTTGAGAGGACATGGTTTCTCCAAGGACATATTACATATCCATATGGATATGATTGAGTCCTTGGATTTCCAAATTAGTGTAAAGAAGTGCTTCAGATCATTGCTATTGGACTCAGACCTGTTCTAAAAAGTCCAGGTATTTCGAATTGTCTGTTGACAATTAGCAAGGTCTGCGCAAGAGATAGGGACAAAGAAAGAGATGGGATAAACATACTTTTCAAGTGATACGAATGTAATGAACAGCCAAAAAGGACAAATGCACTTTACAAAACAGCAATACAGTAGTGTTGAGTAGAGAGTTAGAGCTTTCTTAAACAGATAAAATATTGTGAAACATACCACTGAAAAATAGAAGAATAATGCGGTACCCATAAAAATTACCCAAGGGAGGATAATTATGAAGAGAGAGAATGTGCATTTACCCGCATCTTTTTTTCACAAAGGGCAATTACTGGAGGTTGAAAGAAATTTTCGTGAAGCATTGAAAGAACATTTATAATTGGAAGTACAGAAAAAACAACAGACTCCTTTAACGAATTAATTGGCATGCCTCACAAACACATGACAGACCTATAAAATATATTTGACAAGCGTTGGACCTTAGTTGGAGGATTTACCTACTGAGCTACAAATGGGTGGACTCATGAACTATGATGTACTTCTAAAGTAAATACATCCAATTGCTGAGCTTCTACTAAATGAAATGGTTTTATAACAAGAGTGAGACTACAATAGATATCTATATAACATCTATAAGCATCAAACAATGTCTTCTGCTCAGGATATACATGTTCAGTCAAACCAACTGATATGACAATTCAAAGGTGTGATACAGTGGTTTTGTTCAATTAATAGGTGGCCTTAAGCAGATTATCTCATGCATTAAATGAATATCATATCATATGAGATACAGTCACTATCAAAATTGATACTCGATATAGCTTCAGCCCTGAAGTAGATAGGTTAATCTATATGGCAAAGTGTGCCGAACGTCAATACAATTGATGGATTGCTCAATGAACTTGAAATTGAAGCATACCTTTCTCAACACAAAAGGCCGATGTAATTCAATTTCAAGTGTATGAAATGCCCCTATCTGCAAATAAAAAACATGAGGTAGACAAAGTTGGTCTAGAATATGTTTACATGTAAAATCAATATACAAAAAAAATTGGTTTCTCTTTACTTACAGCACTTCTGTTTCTTAAGAGAAAAGATGGGTTTGCAGGTGGAATACATATAATTTGGGGGTAACAGAATGAATCAATAAGATTTGAAACTCAGTATGACCTCTGTGCAACTACAGCCTCTTATTAAATCTTATTTTCTTAATCACAAAATTTAACATGCTTAAACAAAATTGGCACCTACTTTTACATGTTCATTTTCCAGGATGTTCTTCCCACGTATTCTCAGAACAGCACCTTCTTTGTCATAATCAACATTCTGCAAACACTCTCACAAGTAAAAATGTTATCAACGTGTAATAGTTGATGCCAAGACAAAAGCACTGTAGCACTGACAACAAGATGGGAATGAATGCAACATCATAATGCTGATATGTTAATATGTCATACTAAGGGCTCAAAAAATAACTGCTTTATTTCAATCTGTTATCGTTTGTTAACTTTTGCAGTATGGAATATGATCAATGTAAGATGGTAGCTGAAGAGGAGACCACTATTTTAAATTGTAGATGAGAAGTGCAAAAGACCACAGTCATAAATTCTAAGTGGGAGAGAGGAATCGCTGGTGCATATTTTAGGATGACCTCATGAAACTTTAGATTCCATAAACCCACCTTACCTCAACTTTGATTTCAAGTTTTAGTTTCACACGCTCTGCTTCTCTTGATCCAGAAGCTGCTTCTCTAAGAACTTTTCTATAGGGCACACAAAGAAACATAAAGAATGGGTATTATTTCCTGTATGAGAACTTCTATTGTTTTGTAACTGTAAGTATTTAATCATGAAGGATGAATTTGAGCAATAAAACAAAAATCTGAAGAGTGAAAGATAATAAGGAGATGCTTGAAAGACGCAAATAACTGATAAAGTTTGCTGCTTACATGATGAAAGCAGTCAAAATATGAACGTTTTGAAGCAATGTTGCAAACATGCACCAATTTACTGACATTCCAACCAAACCAAACAATCCCAGAAAGTCCCACCTGGAGGTGGGTTCCAATTTGCTGACATGGAAATATGGAATCAATATTCTTGATTCCAATATGAGATACACAATGTTAACTATCATGATCTATAAGTTTTGCAACCCTCTGAATAAATGAAGCAACTATTACATGACATGTATTCACTTCTTATGACTGGACTGAAATGATACAGAATCTAATTGTTTTTTATTCAAAAAAAAAACATCCATCAACAATCTGATTCATGAATATCCACCAGTCTTGCTTATAATTTATATTAATTTTATAGCAGTGATGTTCAGGATGATAAGTATCTCCAACCATCATATCACCAGACTTATAAACTATAAAAAGCTTATAGCTGCCATAGTTGATGTATAGAACATTTTCAATGTTCTAAAAACATAGAAGACAAATAAAATACATAACCCTCAACTATAACGTGGAATCAAAGCTTTAGGTTACAGCTAGCTGAGGGTTGCTTTTTGGCTGTGGCAGCATTTGGCCATCTGAAACATGATAGTCTTTAGCTCCAGATATGTCCTTCGCAGCTACCACTCCCACCAATGAATGGACTCAGCGTCCTAGGGTACACCAGTAAGCCCTTGAACATTGTGTAGGATGTGCCACCATACTGTGAAGTCATAACCATATGAAGCCTCAAAATTGTCCCCCTGGGCATCTGACAAGCTTCAGTGCACATATTCAGTGTTTCCATGGCTTATCCTACCTTCAATCTAATGTACTGAAACCTCATTGGGGCTTCGACATCCATGTGTCAACCTGATGAACACTCAACCAGAGCTTCGAAAGATCAATTAAACAAACTATGTGGCATTCTAGTGAAGTATTACATAGGGGAGGCTCCTAGGTTTGCGATAGTTTTACATAGGAGGAGAAGCCCACTAGACCACGACTGTTAAAGCCATCCCAACCAGAATCCTATATCCAACAACAAAAGAAACCACAACAAAGCAAACCAATATGGAAGCATCAGTCTATTACTTGCAGGTTTGTGCAAACAAGTATAGCCTCCTTTAGATCATTCAGCCGAGCGTTTCTTGACTTGATATTTTAACTGCTAAAAACAGCCTTTTCGTAACTAGTACCTCATAATTGCTTCAAAGAGATAGCTTGAATATTACTAATTTCTACTCCTTCGATTCTTTGCAGGTCTCACAGTAGCAAGGTCAGTTACCCTTGGTCATTCAAATTATTTATTAGCTTACTTGTCAGAAAGTAGCATTCCCCACGTATCAAATTATATTATTTAAATTCATGTATGCTTAAATTACTGCAGACAAACCTTACAGTAACAGCCATGATAGTATCACCGGGAGCAATTAAATTATAAGCGACCCACAAGTCGTCTGATTCGTCGGGAATCATCTGTTTCGAAAACCAATATCAAACGGACAGCAATGAGAATCAATGATCCAGAGGTGTTCCTCCGTAAGTTCTTGGTGAGAGAGACGTATTACCTTGACGCTGCCAGGGCCATCCGGGGCGAAATCTCTCCGAACGATCTTCATCTCAAGAACGACTGTGTGTTCTTTGTCTTCGGGTTTTTTATGTATATATTGTAGTTGCAAACCCTTTATTTAGACGAGGGAGAGCCGTCTATCTATTTACAGTAAATTACATACTTAGTCCCTGGATTATTGGTCTATGGCCAAAAACCGGTCTCTGCCGGTCCCAATCGGTCCTCACCTTTCTCATAACGGGCCATTACCGGTCCCGATCTCGGTCCCAGTCCCGGTCGAAAATGATAGGACCGGTATAGGTACTTCATAACCGGTTATGGGCCGCCGGTCCCGGTCCCAACCGGTCCTCGCATTAAAAAAATAAGATTTTTTTTTTATTTTTTTAATGATATATTTTTAATGCATTATAAAATTTACAATTGAGTCACTTAAATACATTTTAAAAATACGTTTTAATATAATTAAAATTACGTTTTCTTATAAAAATACATTATAAAATTATTTAAAAATGCATTTATTTATAAAATTATTTGAATTTTCGAGCCGGGCTGGACCGGTCCATAGTCGGTCCCGTAACCGGTCCCGGTCCCGGTCGGTCCCGGTCCCACGAAACTACCAAAAACCTTAACCGGTCTCGGTTTTCGGTCCCATAACCGATCCTTACCGGTCCCGGTCCCGGGCCGATCCTTTGTCGGTCCCGGTCCCGGTCCCGGTCCTCCGGCGGTCCCGGGCCGGGCCGATTTGGCCATCTCTATTGGTCAATATGCATGTTTAGTCCCATGCTTTTTTTTTCACAAAATGGTTAATTTAGGATGGGTCTAATACACGGACCAAAGGGATTTGTAGAAATAGCCAAAAAAATTGATCTTCCCATGTCTAGGAGTTTAGCTCACTATGAGCCCAAGTCTACCCTCATCTTTGTTATAGAAAAATCGCATATTCCAATTTGTACAACCCAAATCTAACTCTCTAGTATAGGTGTGCATCACAAAGAGATACTAGTTGTTATCAATAAGAACAACCTTTACGGCTAAAGGTAAACCTCTACCTCTAGTGATGTTCCCAAGCTTCTAATTTATGTTCATACATGAGGCAGTGACAAAGAACATCCTTCCAACAAAAAGGCAATAAAACCCCTTTATTTATAATGAATAGCCACAAACCCACAATTCTGAAAGAGGGTTACCCCAATGAAAGGTCATTGTCTAACGCTATGTTGAAATTCGTTCCATCCTCCTCCCTTTAATTTTATGGTTATAGGGATGCCATACTTGCCTCAGAGCTAATGCAAGTTACCCCAAAGCATATAGATCCAAGTTCAAGTAAGGGGTCGAGTGAGGAAAGTGCACAAAAGAACATGGGCAGTGACCATGAGCGTTCTAACCCTAATGTTGAGAGGGAAAATTAGAATGTGAGCATGAGAAAAGATGCCACCAAAAAATAAGTTGAAGGCATACATGAGAGCAACCAACCGAATCCAACCCGAGCTACCACAATCTATCCTTAGTGATCAAGCATTTAGGGATATTAAAGAAAGACATAAGCTCAGTCCGAATCCAAAAACCCAACCATACCATCTAGAGACCACTCTTCTAGTCTCTAAACTGCATTTACCCGAGGAAGCCAATCATCCATCATTGTCCTCTCAAAAGGACATTGATGTAGAAATAAGAGTCTCATCTCCTTATGGCTCGATACAAAACCACACATGCAGAGGCATCTATTGCCCACGTTGACAAAAGTGTGTTCCTCGGGTCCATAGATGTAACACCCCAACTTCCACATTTGCATATAAACATGTACTTCATATAAAAGAAATACAATTTACACCACACTGGTCCCACTAGTACAAGAAACTTATGTTACAGAATTTAGAACTCAAAAATTCCAAAAGAATGTTCTTGTACAATAGCATGCATAACAACATGCATCTTCAAAATACATCAATCAACAGGTTGATCTTCAAAATAGCAGATAAGCATATAAGGGAAATATTCACATCTTCCCCTTCCCCTTATTATCTCGGGACCCAGCCGGACCTGCAATGCATATTTTAAAACACAAAATGAGGGTTAGAGTAGGAGGTCTAATGAGATAAGAAGAAATATCACTCAGGTCCTCATAAACACATTTGAATATTCAACCATTTGAATTAAATATAACTTCAGTATAACAAAATTGCAAGTTATAGAACGATTCTACCATACAAATACCACTCTAAGTCCTCATAAACATCTAAAATATAACTCTCAAGCTCACAAGTTACAACTGATCAGAGCTTATGGTCTCAATCTCTACGATCATATAAAAGAGTACAATAAATAACAATCACCGGAGTTCTTGGTTATTATCAAAAACTTTTAAGATACAACCAGATTTAAATTTAAATGAAAAACTAATTAAATAATAACAATGACCCTTCGGGTTTTATTTTAAATCACTACTCTTTGAAATACTTAAATATGATATCTCAAAATCATTTGAAAATACAACAATTAATGCCTCTGGCTATAAAACATTTTCCCCTTCTCAATAACATCTTTGTTATCATTTCAATAAGAGCAATATTACTAAGTCTTCATGTCACAAAGAAATGTTGACTCAGAGTTATCACATCTTACGGATGTGACAACAAGAGCAATGATAGTAACCACACACACAAATGTCACCCTTATCCAAGTGTACACTTCTCCTTGATATGTCACCCTTATCGCATGATACACCTCTCCTTGATATGTCACCCTTGTTTCCACCTCAAATCTACAAATAAATCTGTAGCCATAATTGCTTAAAAATAGGTTCATATCAGAAACTTTAATCTAAAAAACTCTCAAGTTCTTAAATCCACTTTTCAATTTCAACTCAATATTTTCTTTCAAAGACAACTTCTCATCTCATTAGCTTTGAAAGAAACAACAATACTTTTTCTCAATTTATAAATCACATTTGAAAGATACAAAAATGCCCTTTCTCAACATAAAACAGTTTAAAACTGTTAATCAACATTTGTGAAAACAACTTTTTTTATTTCACAAGTTTTGGGCGATAACTGCCCTCATCGGCCAACACTATGGCCGATGACTGTTGATCCTCTCTCACAGTGATTTGATGATAATCCTTTTTCACTTGTACGTTGTATTTATGTTTCTGCATTTTCAGTTGCAGCGATCTTCACTGAGTATGTTCAGTGATCGCTGAAGAACTTGCATTGTAAATCTATCACAGACAGCAATACTTCAAGAAGACAACACTCACACCAAAGAACCTTCAGCAAA